TCCCCTGATATAACCGAATTTCTGAAGAAGGTGAGGAAAGCAAAGAAGAAGCCACTTTGAGACACAGCCACTCATGGAATAGTGAGTTGAAGAAGTCTCTGGAGGTCATTTATCCAATGGTTCATTTCACTGCAGGCTTCTGTTTATAAATTTTCTTAAAGACCCCTTGATTTGATATGTTTATTCAATCTGCAGTTGTGGTCTTCTGGGGACATATTTCAGAATAGCCCTTTTCTTTTCTACAAAGCAGTGTTCAGCCACTAGTTTCCTTCTACTTCTCAGGAATGCTAGAAAACTCAACACTTGGTGAGAAGGCAAAGATGAAAGTGATGGTGTGTTGTAATGAAAATACTCTTTCATCCAAGGAGCTGCAAGTTACTAACAGTGTCTGATGGGTCCTGGTTCATTAGAGATGATTTATATGTCATCTAAACTAAACCCCCCCACCTTTTTTTTTTTTTAGAACCAGCAGGAAAAATTTAAATATATGTGTTGTATAAAATTTTTGAAAGGATTATTTTCTTCCCAATCATATTAATCACCACCTCCACCCTCACCTTGTTTTTCTTCAATCTGGAAAGTCTATTCCATGCACCTGCCTAACTAGACCCTTTCTCTATTTCATGGCTCTGTAACTTGCACACTTATTTCAGCTTCTCATCTTCCAATCTTTTGATCTGACAATAGTCAGAATGTTTTTGATGATGGTAAAGAATCTGCCTGCCAATGCAGGAGACTCAAGAGACTCAGGTTTGAGCCCTGGGTCAGGAAGATCTCCTGGAGAAGGAAATGGCAATCCACTCCAATATTCTTGCCTGGGCAATCCTATGGGCAGAGGAACCTGGTGGCTGCAGTCCATGGGGTCGCAGAGTTGGACACAACTGAGCACATATGCTACTACACTGCACACTACTTTTACTTTTTGATGAGCTAGAACTAAAGTAAAAGTGAGATAATTTTTACAGGTGAAATGAGGTGCTGTTGCTTATTTTATCAACTGCCTAGCAGTTGGAAAATGGGTGGGAAAAGAATAGGAAGTGTCAATGTGGGGTGGTGAATATGGACTTACCAGAACCCAGAAAACTTGAGGTTCAAAGCTCTTGAGTAATTTTTTTTTTTAAGTAGCAAGGGTGTTTATAGAATTGGGAAGAGTTTAAATTATAGCAGGATTGCATGGAATAGATGTATTTTTCTCCTATATTTGTGACCCCATTGTCTGTAGCCCACCAGGCTCCTCTGTCCATGGAATTCTCCAGGCAAGAATACTGGAGTGGGTTGCCATTTCCTTTTCTCCAGGGGATCTTCCCAACCCAGTGACTGAACCTGGGTCTCCTGCATTGCAGGCAGACTCTTTACCAACTGAGCCACCAGGGAAGCCTCAAAAAGTTTCTGTATCTAGAACTATTTCTGTATTTTAACAATAAGCTTGTTAGTTGCAGTGGAGCATGAAATATTTCCAAATATGGGTCTATAGGTATCATTGTAATGTTATCACCAGGGGTGCAATTTCATAATGCCTTTGGGCCCCCAAAGGGAGTTTTATGTGATTGCAAGATTTGTCAAATTGTAGTCTTGATTTGGTGTTTTCCGTAGCATCTTTTATCAGCATGTACATCTAACATTTATTTGCCATTGTTTCTTTGCTGGTGTGTCTACAATGATTTCAGCTCCTTCCTACCCCACTCCCCTAAGAGTGGCAAATATAAAGGAAATTCTTAAGGTTTCCATTAATCTTGTGTCATAAGAGTCTATGTAAGTTTACTTTTCCATGGTGTTTCATCAACAGTCCAGAGGATTGGGACTGAAGAAGGCATAGCTCCTTCAGGTGCTTGAAATGTCAGTACATACAGAGTCAGTATTTCCTGTTTCTTATTGCCCAGATCCTCCCACTGTCCCTCTTGCCATCTGCCTGCTTCTGCTCAGCACTAGATGCCAAGGTGGGCACATGGCCTGGGGCTATGAATGCAATGTATATGGATTGGGGTTTATGGCACCTGGCCATGTAGGGACACTTTTGATACCACGACACCTGTCCATACTGCTTTACAAATCTCCACAAATTTCATGTCACCAATCCTTCTGTCAGCGTGCATCTTCCCTCTCCATCCTACACTTAGATCAACCTCCTTGGACATTCTTCTATTCCTTTTTTTCTAGGAACCACCTTAGTTTAGACAAAATCTCTTTGAAGTTCAACTCTAAGTACTCTTTAGGTCTATATAGTTTTATGAATAGCTGTTCTTTATGTGTGTAATATGTAGGTAAGCAGGTAGATAAATAGTAATCAACTAACCTGTTTTTTCTTGAGCCTGTTTCTTAGGGTATTTGAACAAATGTTGAAGACCTAAAATACGATGAGTCATTTTTTGATTGAAGGATGGCACCACCATTTAACTACCCATCTACTTCTAGCTCATAGTTTACATGTATCCAGAAGTTGTCATGTATCAATAATATTCATTCATTCATTCAAAATATTTAATGAGTGCCATATGTGATCAGAACAAGAGAGGGAAGCATGGTCCTAGGCCTCATGTAGCTACAATCTAGTGGTGGAGACAGGTAGAGAAATACTGACAGTCTCATTAGATAAGTGCTGTAATGGGGGCAGGCTTATTTATAAACCATGAAAGACCAAGTCCAACAAGGGAGTTAAGGGCTTACCAGAGCCAGGCTCCTAAATATCAGTAGACCCAGTCATGGCATATATTTCATGGTTTGGATTGACATGTAGAAATCTGGAAACAACTATGCTGATTTAGCAAGCAGGAGGATTTGTAAATAAAGTCCATGGGTCTCTGTGATTTTGTGATTTGTGAGTGGGAGTCTTTCTTAGTGGAGACATCTACCTGAACTAGATGAATGCTGACTCTTTTGGTTTCTCAATAATCTCAATCTTTTCTTTTTTAGCCCAGGAAACAATAACAAACATAGTATTTACTACAGAATAGTTTCATCTTCAGAAGAAATAAAATGACGGATGAAATACCTTTCATGCTCATGTAACTTGACCATTCTTAATACCTTAAACTGTTCAGTAAGTTCAATATGGAAATATGGAAAAGAAACACATGGGAAATAATCCTGGAATATCAAATGTACAGGCTTTGATTGAAACATGTTCTCAGGACAGGTATGGAAAGGATGGGAATTTAGGGGAAATCAGAGGGGGCTTTGTCTTGGGCCTGCCTCCTTCTGTGAGGAATGAGACTGGACTTTGTCTCACCACATATAAATGCACTGTGGGCGATTTATGTGAAAACACTTTGTAAACTGTAAAGTGTTTTACCAATGTAAGGCAGAATTATTATCATTATTTTAAAATACTACTTTATCGCCTGCAAATGTTAACTTGCCTCCAGAGAATAAAATAAGCCATGAAAAAAAAAAAAAACAACTCTGGTTTCTATAATATCTTTTCCCTAATTAGGCGAGAAAGCCTCTGAAAGCAATGGCGGTAGATTTTAAGATTTGGTTTTGAAATTTTGTGCAATTCAAAATAGAGTCATGTATTGTGTTTTCTTGGGTTAGCAGGACTTAAACATATCTATATGATTTTTATTTACTTGTAGCCTGAAATTATGACATTGTTTTTTGTTAAAACTACAGGAATATTCTGCTCTACTAAGGACTATCCAGATTTTAGGAGCTAGTTATTTATAAGTCTTATATTGTCCAAAAAGCATCACTTTTGTGTTTACAGTGAATAAGGCATATGTTGTCCAATCTTGATAATTGTGAGCAAAAAGTCGTATCATAAATGAGAATTACTCCGGCATTCCAAAATTACATCCCAAATGAGCCAAGCTTGGAATATTTTACCTGAAAATCATGTGTGTAAATGCATCCTTTCATTAAATTATAAATCTAAAATCTAAGCTATCATCCAGTTAAAGTCTCCCATTTTGCAAATAATAAAACTGAGGCTCAGGAAGCCAAATCATTTGCCCGAGGTCATTCCACTTGTTAGTGGTATAGTCAGAACCTGAATTCAGATCTCTTAACTTCTGCTGCAGTGGTTTTCTTACCATTCCTACACACAGAAGTTCAAGTACCTTTATAAGAAGTGATTCTGAAGTTTACATGACTGTATGTTCTCTGTTCTATAATATTACCTTGAGGTGATACTAAGATTGTGGGGTTTTTTTGCTTAAATTTTCATGTCTATTTACATATCTATGTTGAAGTTGATGTGAGGAGTGTAGATTAATTTCTTAGTTCCTAAGACCAAGCAAGAAAAATTGAGATTTTATTTTGCTTCCTCATTTGAATTTGAGTATGAAAATTAATTCTAAGAGTTAGGAAATGAGATTAGGCAGCCTGGTGGCTATATTGCTACTATTTGAAGATAACTAACCATAGAATATATTTCAAAATACTACAGTTGTCGTCTATATCTTGCAGCATCCCCAAATCCCACTCTTCTTGAAGGTGTTGAGTCTCTTGAAGTTTCAGAATTGATCAGCCGTGAAACTGTGACCTAAGTAAACTTGCTAAGAAATAGTATAATAATATCCTTGCCCTGAGGGTAAAACACTCAACTCTAGATTTTTCTCTTTTATTCTCCCTCAGACTACAGTCATATTTCTTTGTTAGTATTTCCTCTTGGCATTGTGGTACAACTGACATTGATAGATAGTGTGGAGAAACCAATTTCAAAAAGAAAAAAGAAAAGAAAAAAAGGGCTCTCGGATAGTTGGGCTCAGGAATAATGTGTGTGGAAAGCTCCCTAGCTGCCCTCTTCATTCTTTTTTTTTTTTTAACTTGGGCTGCAGCTGCTGACAGCAGACACACTGAGCTATAATTTGACCACATTTGGCTCATGTAAATTGTGATAAACAGTGAGCCCATAATATTTATTTTAAAGATTCATTCAGTGAAGGTAAGCATTCCTGACTTGTGTATACATGCTAGTGAATGGAAAGCTGCAGATGTAAAGATCGGTCCTTAATTTCATGCCCCACAATTAATACGGCTGCTTGATTCTCTGTTCATCACAGGTGCTGGGGTGTTGGAAGTCTTTGAAGAAGTGTGGAGCTAATAGCCCATATATAATTCGGGAGAAGAAATCTTCAATGGAAGACCCCCGGGGGATAAATGGACAGTCTGTAAGTAAACAGAATGTCAGTCCTAAGGCAAGAGTTATTGCTCTTAAAATCGTAATTACTATTTTTGTTGTAACTTGAGTGTCTGGAAATTCCTCAAAAGCTCTGTCCCAATTTTTAATGATTTTTAAAGGTATGAATTAAGTAGTATGCTATTTCATCAACCGAACCTAATTTATATCTTCCTTAAAGGTATCAGTTATCAAAAGTAGAGTTCTAAAGTAAAAAGCTAACCTTTAGTGTTATTTAATTTTACCAATATGCTTAATGTAATTTTTAGACTTATATTTTCCTTTGCCTTGGGGAAAATATGTATTTGTCTAGAAACTTGAAATTAATGTCTAAGTTTGGATTGTTTTGTACGTATTTGTTTTGATGAACACACATGTCTGTGTGTGTGTGTGCGCATGCACACATTATGTGTGATAAAAAAATAAAATGTGTGGTAGTTTCACAGTTTGATAGACTCTTGAGTGGGCTTTAAATTAAGGAGAACCTTTGGTTTTATTTTGTTTGTTTATCTTGTGAGCACAAGAGAAAGTGTTCATAAATTTTCCTCAGGTTCATACTAGGAAGAAAGCAAGCTTCTTTTGGCTCATAAGGAAATATTCCCAGTTGGGGATTATTTTATAAATAACCTGTGAGTGATTTTGAACTTGAAAAAGGCAATCGATTTTAATTTTCAAAAAGCTTATTTCAGTAAGTAAAAGGTCGTTTTCTTGGAAAATTTCTGTAGCAATATTTGAGGTGGCATTCCGTGACTTTGCCTTTGAAAGTCTCAGATCAGTTCTGACGCTTTTTAGTCCTGTGGTTTTCATACCTCAGCTTTGTTCATCGTAGAGTTATTACAAACCCAAAGTATGAGCTTTAGTAATGATGTTGTGGTTCCTGTAAATGTGTGTTTTACAAGACCTACTGGTTGTTATGTAATAAGCAGTAACGGCTAATGGATTAGGATTTTAATAACAAAGGGTCAAGTGCTATCAAGGTGCTTTTGCAGTCATACTGTATGCAATTACAGAGTGTGTTTTATGGATCTCCTAAATCATCTTGTGAGGTAATTCACATAAAGCAGTTCGAGATCATTCTGTTCGGTGTAACTTTCACCCTAAATGGAAAAGTACCCTTAACATGTTTAATTTGTTTGTCCCTTTAAACTTGTTATGGGCCTGTGATACGCGATTTTCTTATTGTATGAAAAATAGTTCTGTAGTGCATATCAAGTAAGTGAAAAATAAGTGCAGGAATAACTTACTACTTTCTACTACTTTTATGTGACTTTGCTCCTTCCATTGAGGCAAGTCAATGTGTTGATGAATCACTAACAGTTTCAACAAATAAATGCTGCAGGTAATATTTCTTTGGAGATTTTGTATTCTGCCAATTCTCATTTACGACTGAAAGAAATTAACTGACTTGAGACAAATAAAAAACAAATAGATAAAGAATATAATGATTCAATTTTGTTTGCCTATCCTAACAAAATGGTGTTTATTGGGCCATCTCATTCCATACCATTCAGAGGTGTTTTGTCCCGTGAAGAGTGAAGCAGTTTTATTCTTGAAAGATACTTGGCAGCCTCGGAGGTAGAAAACTAGGGAGTGATGTTTCTCCAGGGCAAACGGTGTGTGGCATTGGAGAAGCAGTTTCCGGGCCATTTGGCCCCTGCCTACTCAACCACGAAGGGCGAGCAGTCTTTCCAAAGGTCCCTGTGTGGGGGGCCTCAGGGGGGCTCCTCCAGGCTCACTTTCTTTGGCTCTCGGGTTTCCCCTTTCCTTCAGAAAGTGGGGAAACAGGCTCAAGATAGGAAAAGGGCCTAGGACTTAGCTGAAAGTAATAAGGTAACTCAGGAAGCTAAAGGATTTTTTAAATTTATTTTTTATTGAAGTATTCTTGATTTACAATGTTATGTTAATTTCCACTGTACAGCAAAGTGACTCAGTTATACACATATATACATTCCTTCTTTATATTCTTTTCCATTAGGGTTTATTCCAGGATATTGAATACAGTTCTTTGTGGTATACAGTAGGAACCCTGTTGTTTATCCATTCTATATGTAATAGTTCGCATCTACAAACCCCCCAAATTCCCAGTCCATCCCTCCCCACCCTTCTTGGCAACCAGAAGTCTATTTTCTATGTCTGTGAGTCTGTTTCTGTTTTGTAAATAGGTTCATATTTTAGATTTTGCATATAAATGATATCATGCGGTATTTGTCTTTCTGACTTAGTTCACTTAGTATGATAATCTCTAGGTCCATCCATGTTGCTGCAAATGGCAATATTTTATTCTTTTTTATGACAGAGTAATATTCCAGTGTATATATGTACCACATCTTCTTTGTCCATCCATCTGTCGATGGACATTTAGGTTGTTTTCTTGTCTTGGTTATTGTGAATAGTGCTGCTGTGAACATAGGTGTGCATGTATCTTTTTGAATTATAGTTTTGTCTGAATATATGCCCAGGAGTGAGATTGCCTGGTCATATGGTAATTCTATTTTTAATTTTCTGGGGAACTTTTATACTGTTTTCCATAGTGGCTGTACCAACTTAACATTCCTACCAGCAGCGAAGGAGGGTTCCCTTTTCTCTGCACCCTCTCCAGCATTTGTTATTTGTAGACTTTTTAATGATGATCAGTGTGAGGAGATACCACATTGTGGTTTTGATTTGCATTTCTCTAATAATTAGCAATGTTGAGCATCTTTTCATGTGTCCAGTGGTTATCTGTATATCTTTGGAGAAATGTCTATTTCATTTTTCTTCCTATTTTTCAATGGGGTTATGTTTTTTTGTTGTTGAAGGAGACTAAAGGATTAAAAGAAGACCTAGTACCAGAAATGCCTGTACTTCCAAACATGAAATGTCCCTTGCTTGTCATGTTCATCTTTCAAAATGTTTCTTAGGAAAAGTCAATGTATTCAGAATAAACACAAGAGTATACTGCACCCCCAGTATTTCTAGGATGTGCCTCTTGACCGTAGTGGCACTGTGGAATACATCTTTCATGTGACCAGAGACCATGGGCAAGAGTGAAGTAGCTTCTTATTTTGATCCTAAAGAGATAGCAGTCCTGGAAAAAAAACATTTAAATCAGAAATCCCACCTTTCTTTTTCTGGAATTTACTGCCTGTGTTTTTTCTGCATCTAGAAAGAAGTAGCTCATGTAATTTTGTAGTTTTTATCAACTAACTGTTCAACTTGCCTCATGAGCACAGAAAGGAGAGGAAGGCATTTGCAGGGCTTTGTTTCATTTTAATCGTAGTTCTGGCCACTACAGTATCCTCTTTTGAGGGGCCCCACTGGGATGAGCACAGCCCCTTCTCTCTCCATAGGTCCAAGGCTGGCCTCTTCTAGGTAGGCACCTCTGAAACAGACATTAAAGGGCCAAGCTAAGGCTGCATCTTTCAGTTTCTTTAGATTATAAGAGTTTCTACAGGGTATCATGTCAAGATAAGAAAAGCATGTACTAGCTCTTTTTTTAAAAAGTGAATTGAGATATGAATCACTATCTTTTCCTTAGAAGCTGTGAACTCTGTAGTTACCTAAACCTTCTGTCTGATTTAGATAGAATCCAGGCATCATAAAAGCTACATTTTAGATTCAGAGTCAGAAGTTGTTGTTTAGTTGCTCAGTCATGTCTAACTCTTCAGACCCCGTAGACTGTAGCCCACCACACTCCTATGTCCGTGTGCTTTCCTAGGCAAGAATACTGGAGTGGGTTACGGTTCCTTCTCTAAGGGATCCTCCCCACCCAGGGATTGAAAGACTTGGTTTTAACTTTTACTAATTGTATGACCTGGGTGGATCGCTAAGCATCAGTCTCCAACTAGAAAACAGAGATGATAATATTTACTTTCTCTTATTTAAAATTATAATTTTGTAGGTTAGGTGGAGTCATATACTTAAAAGGTGTTTAATAATGGAAAAGTACAATGTACCTCTAATGTGCTTTTATTGTAAATACTGCTAAAAAGATGTGGTTGTGGTTAAAAAGTTATATGTGTTCAAGTCCATAATAAAACACTGTAAATGCAACCGTTATACCAGTGCCAGGTATTATAAACACCAACACTACATATGTTTGGTTATATTGTTAGCTGTAGAGGGAATCAGGTCTCCTGAGACTCTCAAAGGAACATCTTATTATAAATGGTAGAGTTAATTTACTTTTATTACAAAAATTTCAGATGATAATATTTTAGAGTTCTTTGGAATAAATATATTTTAGGGCTCCATTCTCATAACTATACTTCCCGCCTTTCTTTAAATTATGGTAAATTTGAAATGCTAACAGCAGTTTTTGCTGAGATGCTGGGTTTTGCAAGAAAACCACGAACTAAAATATGTATGTACCTTATTCCTACACTTGGACATTCTAAAAAGGAAAAGTAACTTTTAACCAAAATGGAAAACTTAAGCATTTATTTCATTAACAGCGAGAAGAACACTCTTTAGGAGAGATACTGTAAGTAGTTATACAAGTATATGGCATCCATATGAGTCTAATTAGCTGGGAAATTGTAAATTAGTCAGGGTTTTATTTATTCAGCTTGATCATGAGTGGGATATTTAATTTAAGTGAAATTTTTAGATACATTGAAAAATACAGAATTTAGTAGTTTTCAGTTTCTTTTTTAAAATCAGGAACATCTTATTAGAAGCCTGTATTAGTTCCACCAGGCTGCTATAACAAAGTACAATAAAATGGGTGGCTTAAGACAACAGAAATTTACTATCTCATAGTTACAGAGGCTAGCAGTCCCAAGTCAGGGAGGGTGTTGGCAGGGTTTTCTCTGAAAGCTTTGGAGGAATATTCCCTTGCTTCTTCTTAGTTTTTGGACATCTGTGACAATCCTTGGCATTTGAGCTACCGCACTTCGATCTCTACCATGTTGTCACAGGGCATTGTCTCCACCTCACCTCTGTCTCTTCTCCTCTTCTTATAAGGACATTAGTTATATTGGATTATGCTATGCTAAATCTCTTCAGTCATGT